GGTGTTCTAGGTATGGAATCAGGCCAGAGAACGTGATCATTTATGGCCAGAGCATCGGTACGGTCCCTTCAGTAGATCTGGCCTCTCGGTATGAGAGCGCTGCTGTCATCCTTCACTCCCCTCTGACCTCAGGCATGCGGGTGGCTTTTCCTGATACCAAGAAGACGTACTGCTTCGATGCATTCCCCAAGTGAGTCTCTCTTTTACCTTAGACTTGCCGTCTTTTCCTATTTTCTCATGTTTACCACAATCACATTCTTTCACCTAATTTGTATAGTACCTCATACCAATTAGAGACATACTGCTCGTTTCCACGTTTTGCTCTGAGCAGCCATGTTGCGGAGAAGGCGCCTGGCTGGTTCATCTGTTTTCTGCCCCTTAGGCATTGTTGTTATTGTGTGCCCTCTAGTGACAAATATTTTCCAACAAGTATTTCAGTGTTTGTTTATTTTATACCTGCACTACCATTCAAAGGTTTTTAAAATAAATGAATACTTTAACAAGATTTTTCAACAAGATGCATTAAATTGATAAAATCAAAAGTAACAAAGACTTTTATATTATTAAAAAAAAAAAACTTTTCAACATTGATAGTAATAAGAATTTTTTCTTGAGGGTTGTTAAATTCTACTGTACCATCATAGGAATAAATTAGATTTTAAAATGTATTAAAATAGCAAACGATTATTTTAATACTAGTTTTACAATATTATTTTACTGTATTTTTTATTTAAAAAATTAAGCCTTGGTGAGCATAAAGGACTTCTCAAAAACAATTAAAGAATCTTAACAACAAACTTTTGAACGGTAGCGTATGCATTATTATTATTACATTTTGCAGACTGCTGTAAATTTACAGTACAATTATAAAAAGAAGGTATATGCAATATCCAAATTATAATGAACCAAAACATTTTTACTTATTTTTATTTGACCAGCCAGTAAGTCAGGTACAAATTTCATATAGATACTTAAGAAGGTAAAAGTCTTATGAAATAATTTAGAAACACAAAGAATGTGCAT